TTCTGAGGGGGTTAGAGGGAGAGGCAACAAACTCAAGAGCTGTCCTTGTATGGCTTCAACTACAGATAAAATGTATTGTTGGTAATTTTGCTATAAATATATATTGTTGTTCATGTTTTTATATATATATATATATATATATATATATATTCCTGGTATTTTTAATATGAAAATGTATTTTTATACTTTCATAGTGTTTTATTTTTGTTTGGGGGTTCACTATTTGCCCATAGTTGGGACCCTAACAGGTGCTAACACCCCAGGTCAGGGTAGACCTGGGAACAACAATTAAGAGGTGGTTCCACTCCAGAAAATACCTGACTTCTCTTCCCATACTCTATCTTCACAACAGCCAGATCAAAACGAAATTGGACTGTTGTTGTCACATATAGGCTGAAGCTGCCCAATCTTCACTTTCTCACCTTCAGAAGCTTTTGCCCGACCTTGGGGGTGATGAATTGTTTTCTACTTGTCATATCCTCAAAAACTACATAATGAAAAAGTAATTATACTGTCAGTTTGTCTTTAAATATATTTAAATAAATAAAAATTAATCATAGGGTCAAAAATAATTATCTTATTATAAAACGCAGATTGTGTGTGTGTGTCTGTACGTTTATATATTGGATCGGATTTCCTCCATTTTTCAACCAATTTCAACAAAACTTCACAGGACTACGTAAAATTACCTTGCGGTTGTTCTGACAGCGCCAAAAATTGGAAAAACACAATTGTTTTTGCATGAAATCAATTTGAAAACACGGTAAAACACGATTCTGTTGCCAGAATGAAAGGGGGACAACTCATATCGAGTTATACTTATTATAAAGCCCAGGTTGTTTGGGGGTGTCTGTGTTCATTTATATATGGGATCGGATTCATTACTACTATTACTGAAGAAGCTTTAAGTATTTGTAGTATCACAATCTTTAGAGTGAATCAAAATATTGAGGTATTTAAAAAAATCCTACCTGTGATATCAAAAGTTGTATAAACATTTAGCTATGTTTATACTAGCAGGTACCAATGATGAAAAATGAATACTAATTAGATTATTCATGATGACAAAACCCAAGCATCAAATATATTAGTTTGATTTTTCTCAAGACACATTATGGGTCACTTGAAATATTATTTTTCCAAATAGAAATTGTTTTTTTTTCTTTATTTCAAAATAAAAGAAAGCTGGTAAAAACTATCAATAAGGTATTAAGTTTGAGGTTTACAAGATAAAAAGAATGAAAGGAAAGATTTGATTTTTCTGCCCACAACTTTATATCTAGAGCTGAATGAAAAAGATAGAGATTTGCAAGCATTTAGCTATAGAATGGATTTTTACATCGATTGCTCTTCCTAACAATAGTTATATGCAATGAAGATAACAATGTTCCGTCTTAGTATTACAAAACAAAAATAATGGAGTGTAATCTTTATTAATTAAAGCTAGTAACAGTCATAAAAAAAGAATAGTAGTATTATTAACTGTTATGATTACAATATTAATAACATAGTCAAATCATGTCCAATAATAAAAACTGATGACAAAAAAAATAACAGCAAAAAAGATCAATTAAATCCTTTTTTGTTTGTCTTAATCTTGCTTGTGTTTTCTGAAAGTATTAAAAGAAATCTTGAATTTCTTATTGTGATCATTATTTGTTTTGATCTGTTTTCTTATCCAATTGATTGCATCTTTTATTTATAATCTTCAAATCTGCCTCATGCTCTCTGTTTTGTCTTTAATCTTTAACTCACGTCATGTAAGATACTCAGTCTAAACAAATGATAGCTGATCAATACACCTTTCTTTTACCTATAAATTAGTTTGTTTTTATTGGAAAAAAAATTTCTTTGAAGTAAGGTTATTAATGTATTACTCACTTTGTTCCTTTGATATGTAAAAGAAAAATAACCACAATTATCATGATGTTGCAATTTATACATGCGTGCATTTGCACACACACACACACACACACATATATATGTGTGTGTGTGTGTGTGCCTACATATATATGCACAAATATAACTGTGCATTGTCTACATATATGTGTATATACGTATATTTATATATGTAAATGATTAATACAAATAAAATTTGTCACTTGATTGATTATATACATGGGTGTGCAGAAGTAGGTATACAGTAATGAAAAGCAAAGTGTTTGCACAACATGTATTGTATTGATTATACAAACATATCAATCTCTCAAATGTACAAACTGTTTGCACACGTCATTTGCACCCCCTCTTTACCTGAAAAACATTTATTATTATTATTATTATTTATTAAAAAGTAAATATAATAAAAATTATGAAAATAAAAATGATTTTAATGAATTAAATTAATTCTAGAACCACTATTATAATACTCGTAATAGTGGTATAATACTTGGTGTATACCTATTTTTGCAGCCCACTATATATAACAACAGCCTGAAGTATTAGAAATCATTCTCATACTTAGGAAGCAAAGTCAATTCAAGTGCCTCTTTGGATGACA